TCACCTCCCTGGCCAGGCCATCCATCAGTCTAACCACGATGCCCTAACATTCGGGTCAAGTACTGGGCCCATCGCTTAATTTACCCTGTCTCTCCTGCCCTTGCCTTGTTTTCTGTACCCACCCTGTGACCCTCCCAGGGAGGCTGGTGTGCACGGCTGTAGCTGTCTACAGGCTCAGCCAGCTCTTCATCATGGTCAGGGCTAGTGCGGGGGTTGGCGGGTGGGGGTTAGCTCCGTTAGCTAGGAGAGGGTCAAACTGTCAAAATCCAATGCCTCTAGAACTCCACCCCCATAAAGGAAGCAAGAATTGGGGGGGGGTGCTAATTCCTCTGCCTTCTCTGTCTTTTTTTTTTAGGCTTCGCTCATAGTTCCTGTCCCCAAAAGAGCTGCTGAAGGACAGAGCCAACGGTCTAGCCTTACTTGTCTCAGTTGGGTCCTGTGGCCTGGAACCTGGCCTGATGCCACTGCATGGCTCTCAGGGCCACCATCTCTAGGCAGGCCCTTCCTGGACTCAGCCAGGACAAATGTGGGACCAAGTATACAAAGCTGGGAGTAAGTCTCCTTGTGTCTGCCAGGCCCAGAGCTCCACAGGCAGAGGAGCCTGGCCCTCGTTCTCTTATGACTACAAAATAAACACCCATGAAAGAGGAAAAAAAAACCACAACAAATTATCTGACACAACTAACAACAAATCTCTCACTCTCCTGCATAGAGACTGAGGATTTCAAATAGGGACATTAAAGTAGCATCCTAACGCCAGAATGCAAACATTTGAACTGAACATTTCTTTTCTCATCTGGAAACCCATACTTTCCTGTAGAAATCTCACAAACAAGTTTATGAACCAAACTTATAATAAAAACACATGCCTTGACCGTCCTTGAGACACGTACAGTAAGATGTCATTTGACCTTTTTCTTTGGCGGATGTCTTTATCTTATGAGCACGTAAACTTCCACAACCCCCCAGAAACGAGCTTATAATCTCCTTCATTAAAGAACATTTCTTTAAGGCATATATTTTCATCTTATCTTTGAAGGTCCACTGAGAGCAACAACGCTTGTAAAGCCTCTCTCAAACCGTACCTATTGCTATTGTTAAGTGTAAACTGAATCCTGTTTCACGAGGAGCTCACTGTGTGCACGTATGAGTGTGTGTGTGTGTGCGCACGCATATGTGAGCATGAATGCTACTTATGTGCCTGAGGGCATTGACAAAAGTGCTTTAGGAGTGTCAGAATTTGCATGTGAAGTTTTATAAATATCTTAACACATTCTGTTCACAGGTGCTTTTCCCAAGTAGGTACAAATAAGTTACCTATGATTAGAACCCATGGCTAGTTAAAATGTTTAAAAATTAGTCTCTTTACTTTAGGATTGCAGCTCCAACAATGCCATTCATCAAAAGCCTTCCCTGAGTGCGTTGTGACACTGGAGACCACAGTGGCCTCTGGGCAGGCAGTGGAGGAGGGGCAGACAGAAGAGGCCCCTGCAGGAGTGAAACAGGGTGGGTCCTGTCAGCACACTGATTTGGGGTGGAAAAGGACATGTTGGTCCATCTGTTCGTCCTGTCAGACTCCCAGCTGGGAGGCCTTCCCCTGATGGTGAGGACCATCCGTTTTTGATGGTCAGGTTCCGCTCCCAGGACAGGTGGTCAGTCTTTTCATCGCCTGGGAATTGGGCTGTAAGACTGTATCTGCCCAAAGCAAGCCTGCCTCGGGGAGCCAGCTCCATGAGCCCAGAGCCCTGGACCATGTTGTCAGTCTTTGTCAGTCTTACTGCCTGTCCTGTGTGGATGCTAGATGTAAGTTATGCCTGACACAGTCTCTCTGTTCACCCAGAAAGAGACTCTTGTCCTGTACTCCACCCTTAGTTCAGCACAAATGACTGTGTCCTGAAGCTCTCTAGATCACCTGTCCCACGTTGCCCGAAGGTCAGTCAGGTCACTATGAGGTTGGGAACACTGGGGTCTGCAGAGACAGCCACTTGGCCCAGTAGAACCTCCTTGTGCTTAGGCAGGAGTTCACCACCTTTGCCCAGTTCCTGGAGCTCCTGGATGCTCTTCTGGGTTAGGGTCCCATAGCTGACAGAGTGCTCACCTTGCTCATCAGCAGTGGGCTCCTGGTGCTCACAAGTAGCCTGCTCTGCCAGAGAATTGACTGTCAACTTGTGCTCCCTTTCTTGTATCACTATCCTTGACACTTGCCGATTAGGGTGTAAGATGTTCCCGGAGACCTCCCGACAGGGCATCCTGCTCTGACACTCATTTCTTGAGGTAGAGAATGTGCTTCCAGAGGAAGTCTGGGGGTGTTGTGTCCTGGACTAGGGGAGGGGCATAGGAGAAGAGGGAGGGGCCCACAGCTGGGATACAAAGTGAATAAATTGTAATAATAATAATAATAATAAAAAGTCAGCACTGCACACTGCTCTGGTCCCCAGCACATCTCCATGGCAGGGGACTCTTGATGATGAGATCATGATCTGGAGACCACCTCAGCTCCTGCGCTAGACAACGCACATCTGTGGTGGGTACTCTTTGAGCTGGGTTTCACATTTGCTCTGCAGGCTCAAAAGGAATGTGTGATTGGTCCCTGTTCTCACCCAGAATGGGTTACCACAAGTCTGTGAACTTCCAACCAGAAACTAATCTCACAGAATACAGCCCATGCCTCTGTGGCTTTCCTCTTACTCTCTGTGAAAAGGCTGACAGTGAGTGGGGTTCCAAACAGCTTATCCAGGGCCAACAATGCAGCCAGGCACAAGTCCACTCTTGCAGGATTTGGCTTAGTGAAGCCCTTTCCTTGTGTACAAAGCTAAGAGCTTTTTAAGATTACAGTCCCATCCAAACAGCAAGATTTCTAGGGAGAGGGAAAAGAGCCAAGCAATTCCACTATGTTTGCAGCCAAGAGCAAGCTAGCTCTTCATCCTCTCAGAACTCCACAGAGATGATCTGGGGGTGGGCTGTGGAAAGGCATTTCTCTTGTTTATAAAACCACATCGTATGAGCTGATCTGACAGGCCAAAACTGCAAGCTCGTAAGCATTTGTAACTGTACCCAGGGCCTCATGCCCTATAAGTAGATACTATACCATTAACTTATGTAAGAGGCAGTATATACTTGTTTCTTTTAAAGACAGGCATTGTAAAGTATAGGTCTCCATGAGCAATGACCCACATAGATTACCAATATTATTAGGAGGGAAACCTGAGTTATTAAGCCGGGCACCTGGTGTGGAACCGGTAGAACTCTCAAGGTGATCCAACTGAAAAGCATCTCTTCTTGAACCTGCATAAAATTGGGTTTCGTCTCATGGACAAAACAGAGACTCACATCAGAGCACACCTATTTCCTACCGTTGTGGGAGAGGGCATGTTTCCTGTAGTCCACACTAGCTCTGCACATGCCACCAGTCTCCCATTCCATTGGAGTTTGGAGGCCAACAGGCCTAGTTCACTTTTATAGCCTGAAGCCCTCTGACAATGTGTCTGTCTCCTTATGCAGCCCAGGCTGGTTTCTGACCCCAGGGTCATTGACCCTTCTTCTTTAACTTCCTAATAGCTGGAACTAATAAAGGTTGCAGCTAGGTTTGTTTTTAAGATACTTGGATGGATGCTTTGCCTGCATTTGTCATTGTGCGCCATGTTTGTGCCTGGGATCTTTTGGAACTGATGGCTCCAGATGGTTGTGAGCTGCCGTGTGGATGCTAGCAATAAACCCGGGTTCTCTGGAAGAGCATCCAGCACTCTTAATCACTAAGCCACCTCTCCAGCCCCTAAACTGGTTACTGACCATCAAGTGTGCGGTAATTTGTTATGGCGGGACATCTACAAGTAAACATGGAGGTAATTTCCTGGCAGGTGCTCAGAGTGAAGCAGCACGTCACAAAGTGGCTCACTGAGTGGCTTGTCATCATCTGTAACCCCAGTCCCGGGGCCTCTGAGGACACCAGGCATGCACGTGGTATGTATACATACACATACGCGCGCGCGCACACACACACACACACCCCCCCCCCACACTCATACATGTTAAATAAGGAGGGGAGCAACAAGGATGATCATGCCCATTTTGCAGCTGACACTTCTACCCGGTCTGAGAAGGTGAATAAAGGTGAGCTAACGGATGTTGTTTCCATCACCAGTGTGTGTGGGGGAAATGAAATCGGGGTGTTTGGCACTGTCTTCTGTAGACTCTCCAACCTCACAGGGGTCTAGGGCTCACTCAGTTGTCCTAACGTTCCTCTGGATTAGACACAATTTTCACTGCCAAGGCTTTAAAAAAATAATAATAATCCATAATTTCAGCACTCGGTGGGCTGAAGCGAAGGCAGTCCTAGCTACAGAGGGGTTCAAGGACAATTTGAGCTACTGAAGATGAAGACCATTGCATTTGGCTCTCCTTGATTTTTCTATAGTGGTTCCTCACTGAAGACTGATTAATTTCAAAGGACCATCTATGATCTGCACACACTGTCACGTGATAGGGTAAAGACTCCATCAATGGATGTGTTGAAGCAATAAAATGCTAGAAGCTATCAATCAGACAATACAGTTGACGGCAAGGTGCTCCCGAAAATAACGAGTAGGAATATCAAGTAAACGAATGACACATTCAAACTTCAAGCTTTAATATAAAAATCCACATAAGAGCAAATGATCAAGTAACGAAATCTGTTGATTCAGTCAGCCTGGGCAGCTACTCTATTCTACTCTTGTCATCTCCCATCCCCACCCCCGTGGCCTCCAGTATGTTCACCTGTGCGCAGTTGCAGGCAAGACGCCTCCTTCCCGGGGGAGATAGGTATTAGAAAGCCACATATGCTGTCTAACTCAACCAACATTCAGGTAGTGACATTGCTTGCTTCCCCCCGCCCCCACACCTTCCCTGAAAAAGAAAAAAAGTCAGCTGTCCGCCCTTCAGGACAGAGATGTGATGACTCAATGGTCTAATCCTACTTGGTTTTTGAATGATCTTTGGTGGACAGAAAGCGCTCCGGATTGCTAAAGTACATTGCTCAACGGTTCTTTCAAAAAGGGTATATCAGAAATAAACTTCTTGAACTCTTCAATATCAAAAAATATCTTGGTTTTACCTTTAAATTCAAAGGCCAGCTTGGCAGGATAAAGGATTCTTGGCTGAAAGCCTTCTTCTTGAAGGACTTTTATGATACTGGACCACTGACTTCTTGCATCTATAGTGCCAGGGGATAAGTCAGCTGTCAGCCTGATTTTTGACCCTCTGTAGGTTATTTCTTTTTTCGCTCTGGAAGCTTTTAGGATCTTCTGTTTATCACCAGCACTCCAAAACTTCACCAAGATGTGTCTAGGCGTGAGTCTGTGTTCATCCACTGAGTTAGGGATTCGATGAGCACTGATGATCTCGAGACCCTGTTCTTCTAACTCAGCAAAGTTTTCTTCAATTACTTCCTTGATTATGTCCTCTGCTCCATTCTCGCGGTTTTCTTTTTCCGGAATTCCTATCACTCGGATGTTGGAGCTGCGTAATCTATCCTCCCTCTCTCTGAGCCTTTCTTTACCAACGATCTCCTTGGCCAATTGCATCGTCTCCTTAGTCAGTCCCTCCACTGCGTCTTCTTGTTCACTCACTCTTGCTTCAATCATGCAGGCCAAGGAATTCAGATCATCCATGGAGCTTTTTATGTTCAAGACATCAAAAAAGTAAAGTTTTTTGATATTTTCAACCTCCCTTTGCATTTGTCTGATACAACCCATCACACTTCTTCTAAAGTTTTCTTCCGTTTCGTGGATCAAGTCTGCTGTTAGCTCTTCTATTTGCGGGGTCTTATATCTCCCTCTTTGTAAGTCCATCAAAAGCGGAGGCGATGGAACACTCACGTTTGTATAAGGATGGCTTTTCGGGCCGTCACTGCCCGCCTGCAGGGATTCTGACGGGGAAGCCAGATACAAAGTGAGGCAGGGTGTACCAGTCTCTTGTCTAGTCACGGCAGCTGCTCCTCCCTCCCGGCTTCTGTATGCCTCCTGGCACTTGACCAGCTTTTTCCCCTTAGAGTCCCAAACCAAGTAACTAAAGGCAAGTTCTTTTAGTTCATGGAAGGTCTCCTTTTTCTTAGTCCTGGAAGACATCTTTCTGTTTTCTTCTTCCTCTGATTCAGAATCTACTACCAGACTAATTAAGCCAACCTCCTCCCCACTCCTGGAGAACTTCTCAATTCCAAGTTCTTCTACCACGGTAATGCCCTGAAAAGTTGAGCCTTGTGTTTCATGGAGTGCGGAGGCATCTTCATCCTTTCCTGTCTCTGAGTTCTCTTCTCCCTCTTCCTCCTCCCCTGAAGTCTGTTCTTCCTCTCCCAACTCTGAGCCCTCTTCTTCCTCCTCCTCCCCCGAACCCTCTTCTTCCTCCAACTCTGAGCACTCTTCCTCCCCCATCTCTGAGGCTTCTCCCTCTGAAGTTTCTTCTTCCTCTACCTCTGGGGTTTCTTTTTCTCCCTCTATCCTCGAGGCCCTTTGCTTCTTGAGAGTTTTTTTATCCTTCTGTTCCAACCTTTCTTTTTGATAAGTCTTGGCTTCCGGACTGGCGACTTTTACCTCTTTGATGAATAGGAAGCCCAAACTGTCACTCGCTATTCTTCCAGCTTCATGCTTCGTGTCTGCTAGAGTTTTACCCTAGAAGTTTAAAAAAAGGTTATTTAAGTCATTTTTTTCAGTGAGATCAAACTTCTGTTCTGCCCTCTAAACTGAACGTACTTGCCATGACAATCTGTAAAACTGCTTAAATATACTTTTTCCCTGTGGTGATGAAGCCAAACTGAGGGCCCTGTACATGGTAAGTGATGAGGCTCCCTGCTGAGAGCGGCCGACCTCCTATCGCCTAGTCTCAAAGACGAGTGTCCCAAATAGATTCGTTTCCTATACTGATCCTAACACACTGGTTCTGCAGTTCCTAGAACACTGTTCCACAAGATCATGCCTGCCCTGACTTGCTTGGGACAGACTGACGGAGCACACTTAATGATCTCTCTTCAGGTTTAGCCGAACCCTATGAAATTAGGACCCCTGTGACCCAGATTCGCCAGAAAGGCCACATATCTTTCCCTCTAACATAATTTAACCTATTTCCCCCCATAGATTGTATGCATCGTGTGTGTGTGTGTGTGTGTGTGTGTGCGTGTGCGCATGTGCCACAGCAGTCATGGAGGTCAGGAGACAGCTCCCAGGAAGGGGCTAGTTCTCTGTTCTACCACGTGGTCCCACGAGCCCACTCAAGTCATCAGGCTTGTGCAAGAAGTGCCATTACCCACTGAGCCACCTTGCCCGTCTTCCATTTTAACTTTTTTTTTTCTTCTTTTTGAGATAGGGTCACTAACGTGTCTAGGCTGGCTTCTAAGTCATGTCAGTCCACACACCCCAGCCTCCACTCCCAACGTTCACGGACACCACGCTTGAGTTAGGTGGTGTTGGGGATTGGATAGAGGCCTTTGTGCTCGCTAAATATGCACCCTCCAGACTGAGCTAGTCATATGACAGTGATGTTCAGAGGTGGGTGCTGAGCTGGGGGGCCAATCTGAGCTGAGAGGCTGCATTAAAAACATAAATAAATAAATAAATAAATAAATAAATAAATAAATAAATAAAAGTAGTGAGTAACTGAAATAAACTGGACAGTGAGGTTTGAGTCCAACCTTTTCCCAAGGCGGTACAAATTCCAGGTGTGTTAAAGACCCCGATGTGAGAAACAAAAATCGTAACATTTACCAAATCTGCCTCAATTTTTTAAAGCAAGCCACAAAGTAGAAATCTCACCAACACTTTATATGGAAAGGAAACCTAGAAGCTCGACAAAGCCATGGAAAGAAGCACAGCGTTTTAACGGGAAGACACAAGTCCAAACCACAAAGCTATGGCACACACCAGTCAGATCGCCCATAAGACCGTGTGGCTCAGGGGACCAGGCCTCGGGGTTTCTTGAGCATCCATGCAGCGGCACCACCGGCACGCACATAATAGACATCATCTACAATAAACTAAAATGCACCAGGGAAAAAGCCGAGCAGGTAAGGTGGTACACACCTACCACCCCATGCCGAAGAGGCGGAGACAGAAGGAAAAAAAAGTAGTTGTGAAAGGGGCATAGAAGAGAGACGGAGGGTGGGATTGGGAGGGGTGGGGGGCTACAGACCCCTCTTTGGGATACAAAGTGAATAAACTGTAATTAATTAAGAAAAAAAAAGTGTGAAGCTGGCCTGGTCTACACAGCAAGACCTGTGTCTGAAGGTATTTGCGGCCCATACTATCTCTAAATGTCAGCAACCTGAAATGACTTATGAGTCAATTAACAATGTGAGAAAATGAATGGGAGAGTTGAACACTTACTCTATAAGGGACGGAAACAGAATGGCCAATAACTATGAAAGCCCCTTCAGCTTAAGTAAGGGTTAAATGAGATATTGAGTGTAGACAGCAGTGAGGGGGGTGGATGAAAGACAAGGGCTCCAGGCATGGCTGACCGGTTAGAGGCTCTTGCAGAGGGCCCAAGTTCAGCTCCCGTCACCCACGTGGGGTGGGTTTCATGGGGACCTGATGCTTTCTTCTGGCCTCTGAGGGCACCAGGCAAGGCACACAAACGGTGCACAGCTGTGCATGTAGGCAAAACCCTCTTACACACACGATGAAATATTTTCTAGAAAGAAAACGAAACCCAGCTATTTATACCGACAGCTTATACCCACTGCTATTCCCACTGCTTAAAGCTTTGGTTGTGCCCACTCGTCTGTGCCCTTCCAATGGATTAAAAGACACTTAGTGTTTTAACACACCCAAATGTTTTCCTAACGGTTTCTAGAACTCCTGTCAAACAAGCCTTGATTCACTCATCTCTCCCAACAGGACTCTCGTTTCCAACTTACAGCGTAATGTCAACATTTCCACACTGTGCTTTTTCTAAAGGAACCGTCTTAGGTTGGACTCCCCCTTCAAGACGGCCACCCCAACTCTTATACCCGAGTTCTACCTTCTGGTCTGCTCACCGCTCTTTCTTGAAGCTCATTTCTCCTCGGCCCTCCGCTTGCCGCTTCGTTGGGCGGGAAGACATCCTTCAGCAATTCTTTCAGGAACAGCTTCCTGCTGGCAAACTGCCGGAGGCTGTGAAGGTCCGAGAAGGTCTTGGCTTCGCCGTCGCATTTAAAGGCTAACTGCAGCGTGCACTGCAGCTCAGGTTCGAGTCCCCTTTCTCCCAGGAGGCGGAAGACGCGGCCCCACCGCTTGCCTACGTCCAGGGTGGCCGCGGAGAAGTCGGCGGCCAGCCTCAGGGTGCCCCCTTCTTCCGGCGCGCCCTCGTCTCGGGGCCCGGCTGGGAGGCTCTCCGCATTGTGACTGCTTGCATCTGGGGCTGGCTGGTCCTCCCCATCCTTGGCGTCCTCCCCGGCTAGACCTTGAACGCGGCCATCTGCCCGATGCAGGGCTTCCTCCATCCTCTCCGGGGATGGGTTCACGACTTGGCTGCTGTGGGGCTGCTGACCCTTGTCCTGCTTCCCATCCGGCTTACTCTTCTCCTCGCCTCTCGCAGTCAGGTTTCCACTGTCCTCATCTGTTCCAGAGCTTTCCTCCGCCGCTTTCTCTCCCGGCTTTGGCCACCCTGAGGCCGAGTCTCCTCTTTCTGTCCCGTCCCCCGAACCCTTGGCCTCAGGTGAGGATGTACGTTTGACCAACATTTCCTTTAGATCATTTTTAAGGCTTTCTCTCATCTCTACAAACATCATATCTTGCATTTCCATTAAAGCATTAAATTTCTTCATCATGACTGCCGAGACGTCATTGTACTTTAAATCCACGGATGCGGCCATTTCCCTCTCCGTGTCTAAGAGCGGCTTCTCTTTCTGCTCCTTTTGAAGTCTGGCTGCTTTTGAATGCACACCTGACATTGTGGACACACTAACACTGGAATGCACCTTCTTCTCCTGGTGAGGACTTCAGAAATCCTAAAAATAAATAAATAAATAGATAGATAGATAGATAAATGAATGAATAAATGAGGGCATCTGAAATATCAACAAGTGAAAATTTACTAGCCAAGTACGGTGGGGAAAGCAGAGTCGGGTGGATCTCAGTGAGTTTGAGGCTAGCCTGGTCTACAAAGCCCAGGACAGCCAAGGCTACACGGAGAAACCCTGTCTCCAAAAAACTATGCCACGTGTACTTTAATATGAAGCGTCACTACTGATACAATCATAAGAAAAAGAAAGGATCAGAATTCACAATTTATGTACCATGACTAAAAACCCATTGAGTGGTGGACAGGCCACCCAATCAGGAGACCAAGGTAGTGAGATCCCATCTCAAAAACAAACATGGGATGGAGCAGTAGCTTGGTAATAGAGCACACATAAAACAGTTCTTTAAAAAAGAGAGAACTGGCAAGCTTGGCACAGTGGCACATGCCTTTAATCCCAGTAGTCGGGAGGCAAAGGTAGATAGATCTCTGGGAGTTCAAGGCCAGAATGGTCTACAGAGTGAATTCGATGGTAATCAAAGAACTACCGTAGCAAGATCCTGTCTCAAGAAACTTAAAAAAAAAACAGAGCTGGTCATATGGCTCAAGGAACAACGGTGCCACCAATCGGAGTTTGATCCTTGGGACCCACACAGAAGGACAGAACCCATTTTACAAATTGTCCTCTGACCTCAAATGCACACCCACACCCACACAATAAAATATAACAAAAAAATTAAACTGAAAAAGATCAAAAGGGAAAGTATGTATTATGTACCACAAAGAAAACAAAAGTTTTGAGGTCAACCTAAGAACATTATTTTTCCAGAGTGCAAAATGTCAAAAGAGCCAAAGCCAATTCTATTCTTCTCCCTCCTCCCACAGGCCCAGTCTGTGCTGAAAAGACCCTTAAAGCTGTGGCCCCTCCAGCCAGGTAAAGAGTGGGAAGGGAGAAGCCAGTCCATTCCAGCAACAGCATTTAATAGGGGAAGGGAGAGTGCATAGGATGCTATCTATGCACTATGAACATAGAAAATGCCTTTAGACTGATAAAAACAGCTTGGCCAGGAACCCCGCTACACCTGATAACCAGAACCCAGTGACATCACTCACTCAACGTAACCAGACACAGTGCTAGAACCCCATGACACCCACAGGACTGCACATAAATACAGACCTAGAGCAATGCTCTGCTCTGCTCTGCTCTGCTCCAGAATCCTGACCTTCAAATCAGAGACTTGTTAGAGACTGGACCTGCCCTTTAGCGAAGATCCATCACTCCCGTGAGCAGGCAGGGGTGAGACAGATTTAGGAATTTAGGGTATGACCCTTTTGTGCCGAACATCAGCATAACAAAATACAACTTTTGTTATGCCAACTACACCCCTCTGCCTAGTGGCTCGTGCAGAGGAAGGAATCCAGACCAACCTCGTAGGTCATTAAAAGCTTATGTCTTAGCACAGATGCTCGCCACCTGCTGGCTCATCATAGCACACCCACACTGCCTGAGGAATCGTGGAATGTGTGAACCAGACAACAGATAACTGATGACACTGAGGATGGACACTGGGAGGACCCGAAACCAATTCCATGGAAACCAAACATCTTGAGCAAGGCCGTATCTGAGCCTGTGGCAGAGGACATGCCTGCCGGAAGCGGGAGGAGAGGAGGGCACCGGACTTTTGACTTGGCTTCCTAAGTTTTCTTTACTGTCACAAAATGCCCCAAGACAAACATCTGAATGAAAACCAAAGTTTCTTGACCACCTCATCAAGCAGCCTTTGGGATCATGGCGGAAACTTGTGGAGGTTATGTCGGCCCATCACGTTGGTCATGAGGAAGACCCTGGGACCTTAATATCTCTCGTGCCCTTATTTACCTCCAGCAGGCCTTGCCTCCTAAGGGCTCCACTACCACCAGCACATGGGGCTACCTGCCAGGCTTGTGGGGAACACAGAGGACCCAAACGGAAACAGTTCTTCCTCCCCAAAAGGTGAGGCCCACCTTGCAACCAACCAAGAGCAGTGAAGGAACATGTGTTGGGGTGGGTTAGGGTCTCCTTGCTTATGCTAGGTTCACATGGAAGCCCCAACCTGTCCCTTCTGCCTCTGGAGTGCTGGGGCCACCGGGGTGCCATCTCTTTCTGTGAAAGCAGCAACAACAAAACTATTTTTTGAGACAGGGTCTCCCCTTCAGCCCCAGCTGCCTGAAGCTGGCCTTTCACAGTCTGCACCTTCCGCCTCTAGCTTCCAGCTACTTGAGGTCTGCACCATACCCAGCATGAAACAATGCTAGCTTTTTTTTTTTTTTCTTTCTTTCTTTTTAGACAGGGTTTCTCTGTGCAACCCTGGCTGTCCTGGAACATATTCTAGAGACCAGGCTGGCTTTGAACTCACAAAGATCTGGCTGCCTCGGCCTCCTGAGTGCTGGGATCACAGGCATGTGTCACCACCACCTGATTCAATGCCTGGATTTTTATGCTCGCCTAAACCCAGGGCCTTTTGCATGATGGTAAGCATTCCATGGACGAGCAGAACCCCTAGTCCTTGGGAAGTTTTAAAGCATCTTGCAATTATCCATGCTTCCAACACGTTCCTAACACCATCCAAGCGCTAAACAAATGAAGTCTATGATCCAGTCACTTCTAATGCTGTATCTAAATGTGCAAAGGTAGGTGAGGTTGTAGTCAGAGGGCCTGCCTACCTTGTGAAGGCCCTGGCTCTATCTATGCACTGCCCTCCACCTATAACCCTTTAAAGCAGGCATGGAGGTTCATGCCAGTAATCACAGCACTAGAGAAGCGGAGGCAGGAGGATGACTACAAATAGCAAACACACACACACGGAAAACGAAAACTGCATTAGATTCAACCTGAGTTTGGCCACCGGGAGGGATCCTTTGGGTGGGAGAAAACTGACTCCTTCAAGTGTTCTGACTTCCAGATTGGTGCTTTGACACACATGCATACAAGGAGACACTCACAGCTAAAACAATTTTGCTTTTGTCTTTTATTGAGACAGGGTTTCACCGTGTAGCTTTGACTCTCCTGGAACTCACTCTATAGACCAGGCTGGCCTCGAACTCACAGAGATCCACATGCCTCTACCTGTGCTGGAATTAACAGCATTCACCACCACTGCCCAGCACAATTGAAAAATTTAAGTGGTAGCTCTTGTAAAGTGAAGCAGTAGGATCTCTGTATATCTGAGGCTAGCCTGGTCTACACAGGGAATTCCACGCCAGCCAGGAATACAGTGAGATCTTGTCTCAAAAACAATAATCAAAGGAACAAAAACAAAGTGGAGAATAATGTTCTCATATTTAATCTGGAAACCTGAAGCAAATTCGTTTTGCTTTATTTTGGTTCAGAACGTGTTAGAAGCAAATGTGTACCAGTCTCCACCTGCCTTACAAATGAAGCCAGCACTAAGCTGAACACTGAGGATACAAAACTGTGTTAGGTATATCCAAACCCCAGAATTCTAGGCTTGGGTGTAGCTTCGTGGTATCTATGAGTCCTGGGGGCCATTGCATCAATCAGTCAGTCAGTCAGTCAGTCAATCAATCAGTCAGAGGTTACCACACTTAACCCTGGCACTCCAGAGGCAGACAGGCTACCTTGAACTAGCTCTGTAGTTCAGCCAGGCCTTGAACTTGAGAATTCTCCTGCTTCATTCTCTTGAGCAGCTGAGATATAGAACTGGCAGATATAGAACCACCAAGACCCAGCCTAGAAAAAATTTTTCATTAAATAGAGGCACAAAAATTTCCGAACCAGGCAGCTTGCAGAAGTGGCGTCGGAGGACAGAAATCACGGTGAAGCTTAGAACTGGCAGCTCGACTCCATCAAACCCAAGTGAGCTGGCTGGAGAGAAGGGAAGTTAATTTTTAAGTAATTTGTTCTTATTTTGTGTGCAGCGGTGTTTTGCCTGCACGTGGGTCAATGTGAGGGTTGTCAGATCTGGAAGTTGGAGTTGTAAGCTGCCCGTGGGTGCTGGGAAGTAAAGCTGCACCCGCTGGAGGAGTGCTGGCTGCTCTTCCAGAGAACCTGGGATTCCATTCCAAGCCCTTACACTGTGGCTCACGACTGCCTATGAACTCGAGTTCCAGAGGACCCGATGCCCTATCCTGGCCTTCATGGGCACTGGGCATGAGTGTCCTACACAGACATGCATGTAGACCAAACACCCATACACATAAAATAATAAAATAATAACAAGACTTCACAATGAAGCCCAGACTGGCTTTGGTCGACTCCTGCTTGAAGCCACCTAGAATGGCTGTTTTGTTTCTTTTCTTTAAAAGATTCACTTCTATAATTTTAAATTATGTATATGTGGGCGGGCAGGCAGGCGCAGGCGCGCGCGCGCACACACACACACACACCCACACCTGTGGGTATGTGCAAGCAGAGCAGATGCCTGTGGAGCCAGGAGTGATGACCCCCAGGAGCTGGAGAAACAAAAGATGGCGAACCACTGACATGGGTGCTGGGAACGGAACTTGGGTCCTCCAGGAGAGAAGCTCATAATCTTCACCACTGAACCACACTCCTCTAGGCCTTTTCTATTTCTTACATAAAGGATGGAATGCCAGACACTTTTAATCCCAGCACTTGGGAGGCAGAGGCAGGTGGATCTCTGTGAGTTGAAGACCAGCCTGATCTCCAACATATCAAATTAAATCTGTAACTTTTATTAGAGTTATTGTTTAATATGCATGAACCTCTTGAATGTCAAACAGGAATCATACCAGTTTCCAGCTCCTGTAGAGTTTATGTATATCAAGAAGCTTTTGTAGAAGAACACAATATAAGAAGCTAATACAGCTGAAGAAATCACAGAAACGATAACCGAGGCCACTTTTCTGCACCCAGTGCACACGAGAACTCCTGTGCCTGTGTCTGCAGAGGTTAATTGCTGCAGGTCTGGA